CAATTCTACTGTGCTTGAACGAGAAATGTCCCCCCTTTGGGAACGGCCTAAAGACACTACAGTCAGTGGCACTGCCCCGGGAGGTGTCATACAGTGTCACAACGAAGATGGTGGTGATGATGCTGACAACAATTACAATGATAGTGAAGCGACCAACAGTAATAATAAAAACAATAACAACAACAATAATAATAATAGTGATCATCCATCAAAAAAGCTGTCTATCAGACATTGCTTGAGAGGTAGGGTTGAGACTTAGTACAATAACTTCACAGCCACCAGAGCCTAAACAATGCTAGCAATACAGACAGAACATGGACACAGTAGATGTGGTTATGTCATACTTTCTGTAGTTATGGTAGAATTAATACAGTGGAGTCCACTTACTGTACACATTTAATTTTAAAAAAACCCAAAACAGCAGTAAACCAAAAGCAAATAACCCCTCCCCACCATTTTTCCCCCTTTTATTTGAATAGTCTCTCTAAAACAAAAACCTGACCAAACCAAACAAACTCCTGCCACAAGCCATCATAGAGTTGTAAGAAAGAAAATACAAGAGACGGCAACGAGGTGAATAAAAACAACCAAATCTTGGCAAAAATAGGTCTCTCCAAACATGATCAATCTACCAAACAACAGAACTGAGCAAATGCAACCCTGCTGCTGTAACAGTGTAACAGGTTTCTTGAAAAGTTTTTAAAGGGCTAAAAAAAATAATTTAAAAAAAATTCAAACTAAATCAGCAATACTGGGCTCAATAGAACAACAAACTTTTTAAAAAACTGAACGGATAAAAAAAAATTGGAGGACCAGATCAAATTAATGAAGAGATTAAAACAAATCAAATGCAATAAATCAAATAACTGAAACTATCAGACTGGGTAAGAGTGGTAAACTAAAAAAAAAACCTGAAAAGGTCAAACTGAATGAGAGTTGTAATCAAATAACTGAATACTTTTTAAAAAATCAAATAACTGGAAAGATCAAAAGTAAATAAGAGGACCAAATCAAATAACTGAAAATATCAAAACCAATCATATGTTATGTGAGCAATAAATCAAACATTTTACAAAATGTGAGAACCAATTCAAATGTTTGAACTTATCAAACAGTATATTAGAACCAATTCAAATAACTGACTTGATAAAACTGAATAAGTACACCTAACCAATTAAATAATAATCAGGCTGAGCAGGAGGAATAGACCAAATAACTGAACCTTTAAAACAGGATCAGAGAACCAAACAAAATAATTGAACTGATTAAATAGAACAGACAAATGCTTCAAACCAATTATCAGAATAATCAAATATCCAAACTGTCCAAAAAGAATTGGGTGAAAAGAAAGATCAGATAACTGAACTGATGAATCCGAATAAAGGGAAACAATCTAAGGAATGAATCTGAACAAACTATAAGAAAGATAACCAAATAATTGAAATAATCAAACTAAAGAAAGGACTATCAAATACCTAATTAAATAAAACTAAAGTTAAAAAAAAAAGAAGAAAAAAACCAAATTGGTAGAGATAACGGTGACGGTCAACCAATGTCTCACCTGACTGGTCCACTGCCCCTTCTGCTGAGGCAGATGCCGCTTCCTCCTCACCCTTGTAGAGAACTTTCTTCATCAGCTTCACAACGGTGTCTGAAGACACGAGACAAAGAATTTTAACACACCCCTTTAAGCTTTCAAAACTAAGTTCATCTGTAGGATTCTGAAATTGAAGACCACGGTCCTCTGGACTTTGCTGTTTGGAGTTATCAGAGCACAAGAAAAACATCGAAAACACGAATTTATTTGACACGTTAATCAGAAGGGCAACGGTTTATAAAAAACTTTTATGACAGCGTTTTCATACATAGGGCAAATTCTAATTACATAAAGCACTGAAGCTCAAAATTTTCAATGTACAAGGCCTTGCTAGGAATCAATCATATCACAGGCATGGTATGAATGTAACAGTCACTATAACATTAACCCTATCCGTACGCCTGGGGTCATTTTGTACCCCCAGGGTTGTATTCTTCACATTTTAGAATACTTCTAGAGCGAAGATGTCTTCGAAACTTTCAGTACTTCTCAAAAAATCATTTTGACAGACTGCTAAGCAAAGCATACGGATCGGATTAACAAGTAAATCTTCTCTTTGGAAAGTGGAGGGCACAGAGTTCCCTACGTCGTATGGATACGATAGTAAAACACAACGTACGGATAGGGTTAATGAGACTGACCTTTGGCACTGGTGAACAGATTCACAGACTCCTCTATCTCATCCTCCACTGGAGCCTCATCACTGGGACCTGAGTGTGGGAGGATTGGTGGGATTAAGATAACGATCCAGAACTTCCCCCAATGTGTCCTTTGTGTGACTATGCATATGAGACAGTGGAACATCACATTTTCCACTGTACAGCCCTAAATGACATCAGAGCTACCCTTCTCCCTCCGAGACCTAACTTCGACAACACACTCTACGGAACATTACAGCAACTGCAGCAATCCTGCACTTATCACTACATGGCATTGGACAGAAGGGCGAGAGCCCAGATGTTGCTGGATCGATAACAACAACAACAACAACAACAACAAGACAACGATTACAATTATCGTCCATTATGACACGATGCAATCAAGTTTTGTTTTAGATTTTCTTCTCTCCATCTCTCTAACTCTCACTCTCTCAATATCTCTGCTGCCTGTCTTATCTCATTATCTAGGTCTCACTCATGC